ACAAGAAGAAACAACAAATTTGTTGTTTCTCTGTTCCGTTTCCTGTTCCTTCTGATCAGCCAATAAAATTTAATTTTTACCGTGTAACAAGGAACAGGAAACAGGAACGGAACAACTTTGAACACCCCTAATAGTTACACAAACATTACAAATTGCAACTTACTGTGATAGTTATTAAAATTAATATTATAAATTTCCTCTATTATATATAACAATTACTGTTAATTTTTTCTGGATATAATTAAATACAATAAATAAATAAAGTCGACCATTGTAGTTATTAAGAAATAAATTTACATTTAATAAGATTATTAATGAAGAAAAGTATTCTTTTGGGACACATTCTAATCATTTTATATATTGTGTAAAATATGTAACATAACAAATGCATGGTAGGCGAATATTATTACTATTACTATTGCTATTATTATGAAATTTAAAAAATCTGCCAAATCGTAATTGACCCCTTTTCTTGACTGGTGGATCACGAATTTATTGGAATGGATGAATTTAAGAATACAATCGAAAGTTTTGTATTTAATAGGAAAGATATCAATATTGCGCAATTAGTTGTTTTTCTTCTCATTTACCAATTTTTGGTAATGATGTTTTGTTTAAAGTAATAGATATATTTATTAATAGTAAATGACAGTAGATTTGATGAATTGTAAGTTTTTCAAATAATTCATTAAAAAATAAAAAATATTAAATTATTATGTCTTTATATATTTTTCGCATGTTTTTTATTAAATTACTTTTATTTACAATAAACATAAGACCAGTTTTAATCAATTGAATATTACCAGTGTGAAGAGATAAAATAATAAGGAATTTTCATTGGACATTCAACCAACTTAATGACAATGAATGAACTTCTGGTCTTCACTTGAAAAAGTGGGGTTAGAAAGACAAATTCATACGGGTCCTTGCTTTAATGAGCAGGGGAGAAGGAATACCATATTAATATTAACATTCAAATAAAATAAAATCCCTGTAAATTCATTGCATTTTTAAAATAAATCGTAATAACTTTTAAAGAATAAAACGTTTATTTTATTTTCTGTTTAAAGCAAAGTACTTGGTAAATAGGCAATAATCGTGAAGCTTCGATAAAATCTCATGTTTTATTTGTTTAGTAAGCAAAAAGCCAGAAGTAACTAGTTGAATATTAACGATAATTAGTAAATTTTGTTTGCTTTAGTGAGTAAGCTTGACGTTGGACAACTAATGAACGTTAACAACAATTAGTAAACATCATTTACTTTCGTGAAGTATTGTCTAAAGGTTAATTAATGGTGGTGATGTCATTTTTCTCTTGACGTTCGTTTCATTACTTAGAATGACAAAAAGAAAAAAAACACAATAGTCGTAGCAGAATAATAAAAAACAAGTAATAATGATTGTGAACCGTTAAACAATAATAGCGAGAATTAGCAACTTGATATATTGAATAAAGTAGAGTTTATTCCACTAACAACATCACACCAAGCAAAGGCTTTTTATTTTCTTGCTATATACTTAATTGTCATCTATCTTCATTCAAAGTTAGATTTTTAATTTCGTCTTCATATCTCAATAAAACATGTGGACTTGGCTCAATTAACATGTCCTCTATTGATTTTTCCTTATCCATGCTCTTCCTTCAAAATATAATATGGAGATATAATACTTTGTATTTCTAATGTTTAATAATACATTGATATATAATCCGCACTATCTAATCCACCATACTCGCCTTCTTATTTGCCATTTTCGATTTTAAATTCATCATCATAATTTCCTAAATGACGTTTTTATATTCAAAGAATGAAATAAATAATTAAATAGGATAGAATAAAATAGGGGTTAATGAACAACGAATAAAAAACAGGGTTTTTTATTATTATGCAAATGAATCATTATGACCATAGTAACGAGAATCGATTGCTTGTAATAGTAATAGTAAGATGATGATATACCTTGCATGCATGATTACTTTAGCCTATCAACTGTTTGGTAAAATTGTAACATAATAAATAATACCGAAAACTCATTTTGGACTATTCAAAAAAGTAATCTTTATGTGGCACCAATAAATGCATCATCGAGGGCCGTAATGATATCATTCTTGAATTTGTATTACAAAAAACTTAAATAAATGGATTTGTTTTTTTCAAAAAAACTTGGTAACCTCTACAAAAGGTTTATTTATTATGTTTAGTAAAAAAAGATGAGACCAACTTATAATAATATCAATAATATTGATAATAACCGTCGTCTTAATCTTCTTAATAACCCGTACATGTCAAATACAACAACGCATTTGACTCCAGATGACATTATAACACGAGATGACCTTGCTGAACTTGCAATATGGGAAAGTGCCCAATTTAATAGTAATAATATAATTCATCAGCATGGTTTTATTTCATTAGCTGCTGCAAATCAATACCCCATTTTTAATTATCCCACCACAATAAATTCAATTGCAACTCGTCAGTCTATGTTTTCTGTTCCTCCTCCAACTTCTTCAATATCTAGAGTGGCTATTCCAGGAAGTTTAATTGATAATAATAATCATACTACTAAAAAAGAATCTGCTAAATCTTCATTTAGTAATGATGTCCCTAAGAATATTTCAACAAATCAAAAGACTTTATTGCCAAAACCACTTCAAGAAACACCTACAAGTATATCTTCTAATAATAATAATAATAATAGTCATGGTCATGGTAATGAATCAAAAAACCAATCATCTTCATCTTCTGTTATTATGTCTGATGATGATAATGATGACAATGGTGATGATAACAATGATCCAAGACCAGTTAAACAAGATCAAGCAGCAAAATTAACAGCTGATGAAGATAAAAGAAGAAGAAATACAGCAGCTTCAGCCAGATTTCGGGTTAAGAAGAAGTTACGTGAAAAGGAGCTTGAGAGAACTGCAAAAGAGATGACTGCAAGAACAGAATTACTTGATGAAAGAGTCAAAGAACTTGAAATGGAAAATAAATGGTTAAGAAAATTAATTGTTGAAAAAGATGCTAAGCTGTTATCGGATGTTATAGATAAGAATAAGGATAAATAATTGAGTGATGATTTTATTTGGCCAATAAAACATCAATTATGCATGTAACTAAGGTAAATTATCAAAATAATTTTTTAATTAAGCACATCCCATGCACCAATGCACATCAATTATGCAAGAAAAATTTTATTACTTTAATAAAAATCCAAGAAACCTTTTCAATATATATAAATATGTCCATTGGTGTAACCTCCCTTGCACCTCCAAGTTTTCACAAGAATAAAATTAAACTAAATAAATAATAGTATATTTACTTGCCCAATTAAATGTAAAGCATAAGTAATAAGGTATGGTTTTAAGTAATGATTTTTTCAATATATTGTGCTGAATCAGAAACAAAGGCAAAGATTTGATGACTATCAAATTCATTTAACATATTTTTATTAATTGGCATCATAGGATGATGACCCTTTTATGTTTACAAGATACAACCTTATCTAATATTAATAGGACTTCGGAAGGTTCCAGTGTCCTTCAAGGTAAAACATATAAATTTGAATAATAAAGGTCCTAAATATGTATAAGAGATAAGCGAATATATTGAACGCAGTATGCAAGGTGTATGCAGATTCCTGAATGCTGTGACTAAGTGAATTCTTCCTATATACTACATAATAATAATAAAATGTATATACGCTCATCTTTCTATTACTATGTATATATTAACGGATCTTATTCTATAACGAACTGAGGATTTAAAGATTGTTGTTACCAGATAATTAATCGACTGAAAAATATAATTATTTGTAGCCTGATAACGGAATTTACAAAATTTATTAACATAAGTTATAAATCCAAAAGGATCTATCTACAAATCCTAAGAGAAAAACTCAACTAAAAAAACCAACTCTTTAATTCATAATTTTTTATAATAAAATAACAATGTTAATAATTATTTAAATTGAAATTGAGTTTTTGGGTCAGAGATTTATTAAATATAGACTGGGATTGAGTCGGAGATTTATATGGAATTTAAATAATGAGTTTGACAAAAATAAAAAATTCAAGCCATTTATTTTTTAAATAACAAATATTTTGAAATGATTTCTGTGCTTGGTGAAATTTCTCGCTTTACAGATGAGATATATTTGATATATAGTTTAATTTTTTAGAAATTTAAAATAGAATCAACTTTTACCTAGTAAGTGATATTGGTTATCGTATTGATTTTTATGATATATAAAACCGCGCAATCAAATCCCGTGAATTACTAGCCGAGTTCAAAAATATATAAATGAGTTAATTTTATTCAATACACCGTTTGCGTTTTTATTATTTATATTGGTTTTTGCAACAGTCTTTCTATTTTAAAGTTTACAAACATTTAAAAACGTATCTCAAGGTCAATGATGACATGATCATGGCAGAAATATTATGATAAATTGATATAATGCATTAGAAAATATTCCGTCAGGAAATGTCCTGTAAAATAGTAAGGGAAAAGGTTGTCGCGCAACCCTGCTCAAAATATACGTACGGTATATGTATGCCAAAATAATTTTTTTCTCGATAAAATTTGGTTGACATACAAAAAAGTTCGGTTCGAAGCTTTATACTAGACGATGATAATCATTTATGGTGTAGATAGATATATCATTAAAGGAAAATTTTGTAAATTAATTCCTTCGTCCATTCATGAAAACAGTCCAATTAATTACATTCATTCCATACACTCCGTACATTTTATTAGCGAATTTAATATAAATGTTCTTGTTCACCATTAAATTTAATAATAAATTCTAATATTTTAAATACTAAAAATTGACACATGTTTTCTTTTAATTAAGAACTCACACTAGTAGTCATCATTACCACCAGCTTTATTTAACTAGTGATAATTAATCAGAAAAAATATTGTTAGGTAAAAATATATAGTAAGATAATAAATAATTATATAATTAATAATTTTTCTATTTAATTAATTATTTGAAAAACTTCTAATTCATCAAATTTACTGTTACCTACTATATTGATATTATTATAATTTGATGGTCTGCTAGTAATATTATTGTTTGTTTGAAACAAAATATCATTACTACCACCATTATTACTATCAAAAACTGGTAAATAAGCAGGATCACAGTAAAATGCATATTGACATTTGTTATTAATAACATAACTAAATTTTGCAGTGTTTATATCATTTCTATTACTTATATTAAATATAAAACTTTCAGTTGTATTTTTATCCATACTTCCATTCCAAAATTATGTTAATGACAATGAACTGGGCACTTCCTGGTGCACCGACGTTTTCTTGGAACTGATCCAGTGTCATAATTTATATGTTTCCTGGACTGAAGATCATATCTATTATTTAAATTAATACCACTACCAGTTGTTGTTGTTATTGGAAGGATGTCAGTTGTTGTTGTTGGAAGGATGTCAGTTGATGTTGTTGTTGTTGTTGTTGTTGTTGTTGTTGTTGTTGTTGTTGGAAGGATGTCATCTGTTGTTGTAGTTGTTGTTGGAAGAAGGACATCTGTTGTTGTGGTAGTGATTGTTGTTGGAAGAAAAATATCTGTTGGTATATCCTACATATTTGAAATATGTGTATGAATTAAGGATACCGGCTGCAACTTTTGATGATGGTTGCTACCACCTTTACGACCATTTTGTTTCCTTTTTTGGGTTGCGACATGGAACACTAGTATGAATGTATGAAAGTAATATTTATAAATAAATATATATATTATAACACATAATGTTATAAAGATATAATAATCCATTAATGTAATAAAGATAATGTTCAATATATAATATAATCTTCCAATTAATTATTTCACAAAACAGATTTCTAAAATAAAACAGAAAGTAAAAGGAACTTTAAAAATACTTACGTCATCGCCATAATCATTATAATCATTATTATTACCAACCTGTAATGCAACTTAAATTTTAGTCTTCATTAAGAAAAAAAAGGATAATCAAAATAAAGGTAGATTTACTTCAAGATTAACATTATTATTGTTGTTATTCTGTAACAGGAATGCAATAATACAAAGATTAATTTCTAAAATGAATATGAACCAACTAATCAATAA